TGTGTGAGAAAATAGGTAAACGAACGACAAGTTGAACGAGTTACTAACGCGTCATCGCCTTTTTGCATTTATGACGTCACAGCGTGTAATCCCCGATTGATTATTGAATTTGACAAAGAAATCACACAATTGGTAACATTTCATTTACTGCACGGCATGTAATTTCTGAATAGTTGGATAGGCCTATTACAAGTATATGTCGTCACGTTTGTTTTAAGTTCGTGGCGATAATAAAATTAAATATTCTTCATATTTCATCGTATACGGTACACATCATGAAATTATGTTCACAAATTACAAAAAAAAAAAAAATTCAAAAAAAAAAAAAAAAAAAAAAAAAAAAAAATCCATTATGCTTAAAATAACATTTTAATAAGTGAAATGGCCTAGACACATGTAATTAACATTCAAAGTCAGATTCAATTAATTATTAAGAGACATGATATAAAACACGTAGGTCTATAAAAAAATATCTCGCTTAAACCACAAAGATTACTAATCAATGTGAATATAGGCCTAACGTTCAGCTGCAATGCACTGAAAGGACAATATATTGAACAGTGACATTGCGCGGCGCACGCATCCCCAGCTCCCCCCTCCCCCAACCCAACACTGACAATCTTCTAAACAGAAACTACGGTCAAATAACCTCATATCACTATATCACTTTAGCTTCCCAGTTAAATCCCCCTCTCAATTAACAATAGAGTCCACCTACTTACTCCTTCGATCCCCCTCTATCATCCCCCACCATTTCTGTAGGTCACACCACCACTATTATTAATTAAATGGTACTTTTCACTGATTTTAGAGCTATATTAGCATATAGTTTATTATTAAATTTGCTGTAAGTCTCTCTACAAATATCTATTTCAACAATATTAATACAGTAATATAACTTTGTGTAGGCCCAAATTTCATAACCTTACAGAGATTATAATAAATGAATAATTTGTATACATACACGTCTCTTTGTTTTGTTATAGGCCTATACCGTAATTGATTTTTAAATTAATTCCATGTATTTCAAATTCTCTGTCTCATTATCTTCAATTTATACACACTTTTAATTTCTGTACAGTACTTTATGTAGCCATATTACTTCAATGTATAGACTAATATATTAACGTTTTCATTGTCACCGTACTTTCTTTCGCGATCCATATGCGAGAGATTGAATTTAAATGACGAATTATCCTAATTACCCACTCGAGCTGAGCGCTCCAATAATATAACAATAAAATATCGAGTCTTTGTTATATCATAACTTGTTAGGCAGATATTATTTTTATTGATCGCTGTTCAACACAAAGACTATAAACTCGATTTGATCTCATTTATGCTGTAATTACGATGTTGACTTTATTCTTATTATTATTGCTTTGTTAAAACAGGTAAAATTTTCCTATTATGGCCTACTAAACCGCGCCACAGAATACATGAATATTGTGAACATGTTCGCCTGAAGGATTAGTGTACTGTGTACACGAAAGTTTGTGTTAATGAATAATCTCGACTAGTCTCATATGTACTTAATGTGTATAATTGCTAATGATGATTACAATGGTAATAGGCTTAATAGTAATTATGGTAACAGACAGGCTGAGGGATTACAATATTCATAATCATCACTATTACCACCAACATGATTATTTTAATCATCATCATCATTATCATCATCAAATTTATAATCATTATCATCATCGTCATCATCATCATATCAAAATATAATCGTCATCATCCTCCGATATCGTAGCCTTCATCATTATCATCATCATCATCATCATCATCATCATCATCATCATCTTAATAACAACAAAACAAGTAAACGATTGTAAAATATATAATAGAGGGCGCTATAGTTACACAGTGCTGATTCATTATTTTAAAAAAGTGGTACAGTATTCATTACGATGTGCTTGTTAGATCAATGTAAAATTGACAGAACAACCATTGCTAGCAAAAATGCCACACTAATACTATTCGTGATAACAATAATGTTTAAAAGCCAAATGGAGAGTAGGCCTATTATTACAGAATTTAATTACAGAACGTTATGGCACAATATATAATTATGATAGTGAATAATATTATTAATGTGAATATTACTAGGCCTTATATGTATACAATAAGCTGCACATAACTAATGGCGGATATGAACAACTTAGTTTCCATGGTTTTTACAATTATAGCATGTATATTAAATTAAGCTAAATTAAGAACAAAAATAGATCACACCATATTTATAATAAAACTGTAAAAATTAAACTATCATGAGTTCATGACCAGTCGATAATAGACAAAGGATTTCCGTGTCGGTGTAAGTGAGTAATATTTAAAAAAAAAATAGCATATCTTCCATTTATCAACACATTGAGCATGTATCAAGTAAACGTGTTTAAAAATTCATACGGCATTATGCTATATTTCAAAGGATGTATAATATAACCAATGAACTACGTTATTTTGCACAACCTCTGTAGTTGTTCAAACAAAATAATAATACCCTGGTATTATTCAATGACAAGGACCAACTAGGAGATTTATAATGGAAATAAAAAATTGTTATGTTCAAGTATAAGATCTTAATCATGGCCATAGGCATTGTTACGTCAATGTTCATACCATGGTCAAGGAAACGGGGTCCCAAGTTCAGGCCTTGTTGTAACCTCGATTAGGAAGTACAGACTTAAGGTCGGAGGATGGCAAAAGGTTAACGAAATTGAAAATTCATGGCCGGACATGAAACAAATAAACAACTCAATACCCAACTAGAATATTATCGAGCCAACAAACCATGTTCATCCTAATCCTTTATCATTGTTTGATTAAAATTAAGCATCCATGATTAATATCAATCAACAATGATAAGGATTAGAACTGAATTCGGGATAAAGAAACAAATAAACATGCACAATAAACTTTAAGGATCAGCTTTTAATTATGGTTGTGTAATCCTTGTTCACAAAAATATCTTTAAAAATAATGACTGCGTATCATATTTATTATATGTTTTTCTTTTTAAAACAAGGGTTATAAGCAAACAATTACTTTCGCAAATAACAAGATGAAACGATACTTTATACGTTTATTTAAATTTTTAGTTTATATTTAAAATGTTGCTTGCCATGCAAGAAGGATATAGGCCTATAATCAATGATCCAGCCACATCAAGCTAAAGCGTACCAAACCGTCGACAAGCGATAATTAGATACTAAATTATATTGTAATAAACAAATAGGCTTACTATCGTAAGCCAGGACTAAGTTTATAAATATCATGCTGGTACCCTGTCAATGAAAGTACGGGTGGCCTATAAAAAATACGCGTACCATTTGAACTGTAAAGTATACGACATGTACATTTCTTGAAATTGTTTACGTGAACTGATTCAATTCTAAAGCTAATGGAGCGCGCAAGCAATGTGCTTATAGTTTTAAATAAAACTCATTGCTTTATGTTTTGCTTGTATATAGAATGCGAACATGGCGGTTTATTTTCCACCATGAAAAATAATCAACATTTAATATTTAGGCCTAAACCTAACAAAATTATATCCTGATGAAATAGCTTTGTTGTTTAGCCTGATCAAATGACATTTTGTCATAGATAGACGTATCGAATTTAATACGCTGCAGGCGAATGGCAAAGAAACAGGCGAACTTTATAAGTAGGTTAGAAAGGAATTTAATAATTTCACATTTCTTCAGACAAATAAACTTCTCATTTACCCACACATCCTTCAAAATTTCCTGATTCTTATTCTTAAATCTTATATCGTAGACGTAGTTCTTTCCCTATTGACCTCTTGAAGGGGCAACACTAGATTACGAAATAAAAATTCCAATTTTAGACCAAGTAGTAATCTTGCTTTTTCCTCTATACTTTCTGTTTATTCTAATTTTTATATATTATATTATTTTAACGATCTCCAATTACCACTTGTATTTGGGAAGTTGCTCTCTTGGGTTGTCAAGATCGGTTCCCTTAAAAGAGAATAAATGAATGATTTCATTTTTAAAAGGAAAAGCGTCGTATTTAAAAAAATAGATCAGCATAATATGCCTGGGTGAGGTGGGGAGAATCTATAGACTATTTTCACGAAATGAACATTTCCGATAACCTGGCAGCTACCACTGGGGTATTTTTTCAGAGGCCTAGCATTTCGCTCTACATAGGCCTAGTTACCATCATGGATTAAATGATCGATAAAACTAAATAAATAACGAGCACAAATATTTTAAAACGGAAAAAAAATTATTATAGTAGAGATCAGTGGTTCAGGCCTGAAAGCCCCCTCCCCAACCCCGTGGGTTGTGAGATGTTGGAGGCGCTGTTTCAAAATAATCCCGATAAAAATGGTCTATTAACTTCTGAATTGTAAACACGTGAAAAGATTACGAAAGAAAAATTCCAATTAAAGAATAGTGTTGCCTTTTCTCTATATTTTTGTTTATTGCAGTCTTATTATATGTATTATTTTAACGATCTCCAATTACAATTGTATTTGTGAAGTTTTTCTATTGGGTTGTCAAGTTCGTTTCCCTATTAAAAAAAGATAAAAATGAAGTAATGATAATTTCATTTTTTTTAAATAGGTATTTAGGGAGGTTAGAAGACTATGCCTGGTTGGGGTGGGGCAGTCGGGTGCTGGTGCTAATTTTTAGCTGGATCTCGCTCGTATCTTTTCTGTATATGTATATTGATGATCAAATAAATAAATGAAATACTAAGTAAATAAAATGAAGACTATGTACAGATGTTGCTTCAGCTTCAGACGATCTAGTCATTGTAGGCCTACAACTAAAGACGCCAAGTAATTGTTAAAATTTAAATCGGATACGGAAATACATTAAATATGCACCCCCCCCCCCCACCATATGCTCATGAAAATGTATACATTATTTCTGTAGTAGTGTAAACGACGAGGTGTGGCCCTGCCGTTGCGCAACGTACCGGTACCGAACGTACAGGTAGGTACCAGAGACAAAAAATTTGACCACCAATTGGAAACTGTTGAGGGCGCTATACATTTCAATGATGTGCGTCCGAGAGAAAAAGATTTTTGCAGTTTTTACCTGTTTTTGTCCAGTTAGGCTATAAAGAAAATCTGTATTCTGGTAAAGTATTTATATGAGCTGTACTTTCTAAAGCGTATCGTACGTTTAATTATTTTATTAATTAATATTGCACATTTGCCGGTACCGGTAGCCTAGGCCTAGTAGGCCCAGGAGTACGCTACAACGAGTAGGCCAAGGCCTACTAGTACTACTACTAGGCCTAGGCAGGCCTAGATGACCTGTGGCTGTTAAAGTGTCGTATCGGTGGTGAGTACCACCTAGAATGATTTTTGAAGTAATAAGTATATACCAACTGATGTAAGTGAGAGCAGTACAATTCAGTCGGTTTCTTAAACTACACGCTTTTGTTAGCAGTGTTCGCTAAACCGTGAAGATCCATGCCCTTGGTGAATGATTTTCGGTTACTGGCCACAGAGAAAAGTAGTTTGCTTGCAGAAAACTAACTCAAAATTTCATGGAAAATCACTCGGAAATAGTTGTGCAGAATAGTAATTTAAATTTGTATATTTATGAGACATAGAATGATGTCTAATTATTAAAGCAAAATTTGTGTGGAAATTGGCCCTTATTTTGGCATGTGCGGACCGGTTTCTAGGCGTTTTTGTATATATTAATACTATGATACATTCCGAGTCCCTGGTTCAATTATGTTACTGCTCCCTATGCGTTTCATCTGGAGGGATGGAATACAATTTGGGAATGTACACAAGTGTACAATATTACTCATAGTTATCGTTTTTCTTTCTTGACAGCACAATGGATATCTCCGATTGGATATACAGAGGGGAAGGAAACTCATCCTTAGTAATTTCTAACATCAAGGTAAACTTTAGATAAGAAGATAAAGTCGACAGCTACCAGGCAGGAGGCAGGTCTACCTGGGTCTCAAGAAAGCACACATACTGTATCACACATGCAGGTGTGCGGTAGTATGTGCCTTTTAGTGAAACTGATCTATCTTTATACCACTGCAATGTTTTCAATATTTGCTGGCCAACCCAAGTTTTAATTCAATTCTAGATTCCAAGAGTACCATAAATGCTCAAATAATTTTTTTGGAGGCTTCAGTGTAGCGCTTATTTGAGAGCAGCACTTATTCGAGAGTGGCGCTTATTAACAAAATATTTGCGTGTCATGTTTAGTTCAGCGCTTATTCGAGCATATACGATATATCTGAGGGATGTTGTGGCAAAATGGCTAAGTTGTGGCAAAAATTGAACTACAAGATATTGGTATTGTCAGATACCAGAGTATGTAATCTAAACATTCCTCATTTAATAATATATACATTTTATTTTATAAATATTAATTACACTATCACAGTATACATTGTATTTAAAACCCTGTTTCTCAAAGTGTTTCATTACATACAGGGTAATAATATGTACAGTACTCTCAAGCGCTGCGGCATTTATTCTTATTCAAAATAGAATAAGGCGCTTATTTGAGAGTGGCCCTTAGCGGAAAAAAAATCATGTTTGGTTCAGCACTTATTCGAGCATATTCGATATATCTGAGGGATGTTGTGGCAAAAATTCAAGTTATTGGTATTGTCATATACCTGAGTATGTAATCTAAACATTCCTCATTTAATAATATATAAATTTTATTTGATAAATATTAATTACACTTTTACATATTTAATCTCATATTTTTCAGGAAAGGAAAGTGTACAAGTTGAGAAAGAGGGAATTTGTGAAGACTGAATGCAATGTAGGACATATTCCATTTATGCCGTATTCACACTTCTGTACTTTTATAATTGCTTAAAGCCCTGTCCACACTATCAAATTTTATTTGACAAAAACATGTGACATGCCTAATTATGGTCATGATGACATCACATCATGACCAAATATAGGCACATCATGACTATATATGGGCATACAAGAGTTTTTTGTCAAAAAAGTTTTGATAGTGAGCTGTCTTTTCTTGTAAGTATCAAAAAACATATATGGGGGAGGGGGGTTTGTAGCTCTTCTCTCACAAGCCTACATCGGGTTGAGATAATATTATATTATGTCCTTGCAGGATACCAAGACTGTTGGAGGTGAAGATAGTTTGCAAAGATGTCGGAGGACATTGCAGTACTCTGAGCAAGTACTTAGACCTCTTCTGGGTGAACAGTTTGTGGCAATTGCTGTATGTATGATCATTTTATTGAACGAATAAATAAATAAATGAATGAATTTTTTTAGATAATCTTAAATCACTTAAAAACAAAAACAGGATAATTAAAAAAAACATACACAATGATAGCTAAATTCCAAGGAAAAAACATATTGCATTAATATTACTAATAATTTTAACACAAGATTTATTGACAAAAGGATTGATGTAATTTACTATAAACTCAAAAGTAAATCATTTTTGAATATTATACAGTAGTTACTATTTGCTATAAAGTGCAATAGTATACATTTTTTTAAACAAGACAAGTACTTGTTGTAAGGTCAGGAAATAATAAATAATACCATAGAGAGGATTATGATACCATATGGTGCTTTTTCAAGTGTATATCTGTTAAGTACAGCATTGTGTTGTTTAATATGTATGAATTACAAGTTTGATATGAATATAACCTGTACCTGAAATAAGATAACTTTTATCGTTCAGTATTATAACACTTGAATTTTGTTTTCTTTGACAATTTGAAGCACATCAAATTCAGAGTATTGCAATATTTTATTATGTTTTTGATTAGTTCTATTGCATTTGAAAATATTTTGGTAAATATTTTGGTAGGAGATTGTACCGATTTCCAAAGATTTTATAAACAGTGTGAGTGAAAAGGTGAGGAAATCCAGGCCACTCAAACGACTCAACACTGAAATAGATGAGTACAGTGGCTATGGCATATGTCTACCAGACTTCTGTTTTATGCAGCCCTCAAATTCTAAGAATTTAAACCCAGTATTATGTGTTGAAATAAAGGTGAGATGAAAATGTGTTATTCATTCAATATTTATTCCAAATGTGTGTGTAGGAGACCTACTCGATAGTGGTTTTGTTCGCTTTTAGGAATCCTGTCTCGCTCTGTTTCTGATATTTTTTGCTTATTTTATGTTGCATTGTAACCAGTTGTTGTTTTGTTTATTTTACTGAGACAAAGTAAATGGAATTGAAAATGCTGTGGAGACATTTTAGGACAGTTTGATCAAGATCAAATGGGTTTTTCTTGGTGTGGTCCTGTTATCTGGAAGGTATCTTCCATATAAAATGGGTACACTAGAACACACCTTTAAATACCAGCTGTGATGTTGAATAATTTTATTTTCCTTTAATATGCATGTAACAGTTAATGTTAATAAATACAATGTAACAATAAGATAATATTCAAGTTAAGAATAAAAATGGAAATTAAACATTAGGGTACTGTTGAAATTTAACCATTATGCTAATTAATTCCTTGTACAAAAACATTTTTTGTTTTAGCCGAAAATGGGATTACTTCCAGACTTGAAGCAGATTAGCCCAGAAAGGTCAATCAAAAGGTCAGCCTGTAGATTTTGTATGTATCAAAAATTGAAGGTAAGAGCATATATCTGTCATATCATAGCATGGCTCTTAAAAGACGTGATATGTCCTCACTTAGGTAAAACTGCAACACACAATTCTTGCCACATTTTGTATGCTATACACACACACACAAGATGTGTATAAGAGACAGGTATACATTGTATTTAAAACCCTGTTTCATTACACACAAGTGTTTATATTCTCTTGATTAAGCACACTACCCTGTAGCTTTTCAACGAATAAAGTCCTATGAAAAATCATTGTGTAATAAAATGCCTCCGACGGGATTCGAACCTGCGACCTCTCGCATATTCATAAGCCCTGTCCAGACTATCAAATTTTATTTGCACAAAAACATGTGACATGTCTAAATATGGTCATGATGACATCACATCATGACCATATGTGGGCAAATCATGACCATATATGGGCAATGTGAACAGAGCTTTACACACACATATACTTAAAATGATAATAAATTCAGCAAATTCTTGTTTTGGTTTATTCCCAGCTCTCTTTGCCAAATGTTAATCCAGGAAATCATAAGGTATGGTAATACTAGTAACATACTGATTATATAATAATAATAATGTATAGCGCACTTCCTAGGAAAGTTATGATAATAATAAAAATGTATGGGATGCCTTCTTAAGAGATTTGTTTTTAATTGTGTGATTCAATTCTGTTTTTTCATGACAAGAACAGTGATGTTAAATATCTCTTGCTTTTTTCAGGTAGAGTATGGAACCTGGGAATCTGCTAGTTTATACTGCCCCCTGGACCTATTCTCAGGGTTTGTAACTTTTTTTAGGCAATTTCCTTCCAATGATTTTATTCACAGGCCATTATTATTGGTAACATCAACTTCTTCAACATAACATCGCCAAAATGATGATGATTATGATTATGATCATGATCATGAACATCATTCTCATGATGATCAACATTTACATGACCATCATCATGATCACCATCAGCCAAAAGCCTCTTCATGAACTTCATCATAGAAGTACTGTATACTCACAAATACTTTATATATTTTGTGACAATATTTAATTGTATATATGTTATTACACTAGTTATCTGTTTATACATTAGATCAAGATGTTAATCTTTGTGTATTATTGTCTTCTTTTGTATTACATGTTGTTTATTTCTGTCTCATGTAATTTAGCTTATTTCCTACATCAGTTTTATCACTGTCTATTCATCATTTCACTTTGTTTGTTTCCTGTTCTAAATCTCTGAACGAAAATCTGTTGAATGGCCATATATAGTCATGAAGTGCCTATATATGGTCATGATGTGATGTCATCATGACCATATTTAAGCATAGCTGTAATGCTATGAATTGACTAAAGTACATTAAAATTAAATCTTTGAATTAAATTGAAATTTAATTCAAAGATCAAAATAAAGCTGATGGTGGATGATGAAATTTATCAGGTATTACACACATTTCCTCTCTAGTACCAAGAGACTCACATATCTACAGGTGATAAGTATAATGTGGTTTATATTTAGTACCTGCATCATAAGTTTGCACATGTAGATGGAGTTGAATTAGTAAATAGATTAATGTATTTCTGGTTACCACTGTTCTTTGGATTTATAGGAATGAAGACAGAATGATGTATGCTCTCAATTGCCTCATAAAAACACCACAGAACAATCTTAGAGTATTCTTGGTAAGTCAGTTATCAATTAGAAATATTTTTTTTAAAATTCCATTTTTGGCCAATTAGCGCACCTGCAGCCACAAAAAAACTGAAATTTCAGAAAAAGATAAAAGTTTTTCTTTATTCTTAATAAGCCTTTCGCTGCCGTGAAATCTCCTAAAATAAGATATATTTCTTCCTAATTATATAAATTTAAAGCATTTAACCATCCCATTACTACTATACACTGTTTGCATTCACCAATTAAATTATATTTGTATTTTCTCCTCCATCTGGATGTTTTTGGCAAAACTTTTTGCTAAATAAGAAAACAAATTTCTTAATGTGTTTTTTTCGCCTTTTAATGATCTGTAAAAAAATAAGTTTGCAAAACAAGGATAAAAAGAAGTCTTGCCTTATCTAACTAATAATTCAGATATGGATTTATGACAAACTCATTATAGGGCAAAATCAATGGTATCTCATGGATATGAATTCAGGGGTGAAGACTAAGCTGTCTGACAGGGTTCAGACAAGTTCTGTGAGAAGAAACGCTGCTGCCTTAGGAAAATGGGGCAATCTCAAGCCATTTTAATCAATTCTAAGATGTGTAGAACAAAATGGGTTTAAAAAGTCATGGACAATGATGGGGTGAGGGAACCTGGCTTGTCTGGTAAGGAGACTTAGCACACAACCCCAATTGGCTCTGACACTGTGTGCAACATGTTATGTAACATGTTAGAAGAACATAAGATTTTTCACATTCACCAGCAAGTATATTTGATGTTGTAATAGTTTTCAGAAAATAAAATTTGTGTGTTTAAGAATTTTAACTCCAGACCCTGTGATTTGAATGAAGGCAAGCATCTTAACCAAGCTATAGTTCTAGTCTTATTTTTTTCCATCTTTATTCAATTACTCTATTAATTCTATCGTTGTAAGTCCTGATGTAGGGTGAACCTCAGAATCTGGGACTGTGGGATTAACCACTAAACCACGGAAATAATAAATAATTTATTGACATTCACAGTTCTGTTATTTGTCTAAACCACAGAATGGTCGGTTAATTTTTGCTAACAATGGACGTTACATGCCGACATTAGATGATCACAAGAGACTGGTTGACATTTTAAAGTTGCAATTTGAAAAACAGGATAAAACCACAGAGGATGACCACAAAGATTTTAATCAGTAAGTCTTCTACGAATAATAAGATAATGAACTCAATCAGTTGTGTATTAGAAAAAATGGATTTTGAGATTAGGCAGTTTAGTTGTTGATTGTTTACTAAATACATACATAAGAAATTTATTTATTTATTTAAAACCATGTTTAAGGAGGGTAGCCCATCCAGCAAATCATTTGTGGCCCTCAAATACATTGAAGATACAATAAACTTTGATAAATCTATGGGACAGGTAAAAGATAAAGAATACAAAAAAAAAAAATAGAATACAAAAAAAAAAATACTTACATGATTGCAATGGATAAAATGATTACATTTTAAAGTTAATTAAATTTAGCACAGATTGTATGTCTTTGTGAAGGTTGCTTCTACTTTAAAGGTGAAAGAAAACAAAATTTAACCTCTATGACTCGAAAAGAGACTGGAGCGTGTTGGAGAACAGTACAGCTAGTTCCATAGTGTATAGAATACATACAAAAAGTGCTGTAGTTTAACTATGCTTCCTGTGTATACTAAGTGGCAGGTACGCCTGACTACTACTGCACTGTGGCAGGTACGCCTGACTTTCTTTGGTTTAATTCAGTTTATCACTTTCTTGTTATTGTCCATCGAGGCCCATTAGCTGTTTAATACTTTAAAATTACGCAGAAATTTAACATGCTCAAGGAAACATGCAAATATACATAGATAATCTACTTATAATGGACTTGGGATTACAGGAACCCGGGGTCAAATGTAAGTGGGTATTAGAGACTAAACAATTTTGACGGCAGGTTTGACTACCTTTAAATAGACATAATTTACTTGTAGATTTTGTTAAATTTCAGTTTCTGTTACTTATGGCCCAATATTAAATCAATGTAATATTTACCTTTCCATTTTATAGTTCCTGTCTACAAGACTTCCTTCATGTCATACGGAAGGTACTCATGGTTTCTGAAGTGGATAGTGAATCGACACCGAGGGTGTCCTGTACACGACCACAAACCAACAAACATTGTTTAGCAAGTTGTTACAAATCTAAATCTAAGAGTAAGGTTTCAATTAAAATTTGATTATTTACTTTAGGTCAGCGATTCAACCTTTCAAAAACAATTCCTAAAAGAGAAAACTATGTTATAATGGAAATAACAAATGCTATAATACATTATCTATTGCAAAGGTCCGTAAACAAGGGGAGGCTAATGTGGCTCAGCCGAAATTCTGTTGTTTTAGTCACCACTCAATAATAAACAGAACCATTTCTTCCATTGGATTAAGTACCTTCAAAATGATGAAATAACCCCCTGCTGGGGCTCTTCTCGTGCACTACATGAAATGACTACACTCACTCTCTACCCTTTGCTCTCACAGCTAAATCCCCTTAAGAAATCTTGGTTATGGGCCTGTTGCAGTACATTTAATTTCATTTGGCATTATAAACATTAAAAATACAGTATTACAAAAATATATAAATACAATTATATTAATGATATATTTTATAATTATGCAGAGGAATCGGAAAATTCATCTTTACCGTCTGGCTGTATTTTGGACCGAATATTGAAAGTGCAACAGTATGATGACCTGGACATCGAGGGCATCTATCCATTGTACCAACGCTTACAGGAGCATTTAGCTCATCACCCTGAAGACAGGTAGGAAAAATGCATTGCACTACATTACTATAAAGGTGGATGCTTAGTGCAAAGTCAGAGACTCAACTTTCAGGTTAGGTCTGAGAATGAATGAGTAGTGGTATTGCTGGGATGGTGCTCGTGGGGGAGGAGTGTTGAATGTTCCACAGCATTGCACAGTCTACCCCAAATACCAAGGAATGAGAGATTGGCACGTCGGCCTGAGAGCCCTGAGATACAGTTTTGAATTTATAAAGCTATAAGCTGTTGACTGTGAACTACTTCTGCAAGTTGTGTGCTCAATTTGACCATCAATGTTGTGGTAAACAAAGTAGTGATGTTAGCTCCTTTGCCTTTAGTTTATTTCCCTATTTAAAGCTGTACTTCCTAAATACTACTATCTGTTATGTTGTAAGAAGAAAGTTAACTGCCACGACTTTCTCTATTTATTCAGGGAGAAATATTGTCTAGAGGGACCTTTCAGTCAATCGTTTATAGAGCAACTTCCGAAGATGCCTAAGCTAACAGAAAACATCAACTCAAGCATTGAATCAACACTTGATTATGCTGTGCAAAAGATTAGGGAGTTTCTCATTGCCGCAACTACCAAGGACTGCTCTATAATGCTAACATTACAGCAAGCAAGTGCTACACAGTAAGTACAATTATTGCCGCTATCTTACTACCGTAAAACTTCGAATATAAGCCCCATGGGCTTAAGCTCGAAGAAGCCCATCTAGAAAATCTAAGATAATATGGGCTTCTTTCGAGACATTCAGACTGACATTATAGTTGATTATTATCATAGTTTGTCGGTGTGCAAACATGGTTAAAATCTAAAAAATATTAAAAGGAATTTCGAATTCCACAGTTAAAAAATGTTGTATAGTAGCAATTCCAAAATTTATAGCATTCATCTTAAAAGAAGCCCCCTATTTAGTTTGCGAAAGTAATCTTGAAAAGAAGCCCATCTCGAAAAGAAGATTCATAAACAAAAGAGCCAGCTCAGGGCTTCTATTCAAAGCCTTACAATGTCTTTTTTTCTGAGCACTTACTTATTGTTGTCACATATATACTTAAGTATTAACTGTTTTCCTTTCCTATTTCCCATCTAGTTAAGCCATATTGATAGATAGTGATTATACTCTTTAAATACATGAACAGCTTAGCTCAGTCGGCTAATCTGGCGGTAGCCACTGTGTGTGCGTTAAACTGTGGATATCTCTAGGTCCCCGGTTCAATTCCCATCGCTGCCTCTCCTTGTGTTTCAGCTAGAGGGTTAAAATACAAGTTACAATAGCACACCATCTTTTGGATGAGACGTTCAAGCTGTTGCTCCCATGTGCATTATGGCCCAAGTGCACGTTAAAGAACGCAGTAAACTCTTCGGAAAAGAGTAGGGGATTGTCTCTCGGTGTGCTGCCCAATCACCACCAGAAGGACCCCACTGGAAACAGGTCTTCTTCTAGACTTTCCTGGGATATCCTTGGTGTATACACCGAATTAAATTCAAATCCAAATCCAAACACCCCTATTAAGGGGACACTTTTTCGCCACAAAACAAGGGAAAACATATCTTTTAAACAATATATTTAGGGGACAACCCTATTAAGAGGAAACGTTTTGGTGCTGAATGTGTCCCCTTAATAATAATAATAATAATAAATAATAATAATAAAAATAATAATAATAATAATAATTTTTAAAGTGCAAATTTCACCACCAAAATTGGTGCTCAAGGCGCAGTGTCAAAACAACAGGTAGAGAACAAACAGGAATCACAAACAACAAAGTGTAAACATGTTTTTTTTTTTTTGTATTAGGGGTTCTACTGTAGTAGAAATGGCCATATTTATTCATTCTGAAAGAAATCATCAATAATCAACAAATATTCAATTTGTTTGTTTTTGTCTTCCTTTTGCAGAATGGAAGAATCGATACCATCTATCTCTTCACGCAATGGCAGCAGGTTTTTATATCAGTGTAGAATTGTAGACCTAGACCCAAAGCCATCTACGCGTATCCCCATGTATGACAGACTAGATCAAGACATAACGCAATATTACAAGAAATACTATGAACATGAAGACATGTCTTCTTGATAAAGGGCACAACATTATATATAGTTCTATGATTATTACATCCTTTCATAATTCTATAAACAGCTCAGTGGACCACGTGTTTTATTCTAACATTTGTATATGGTTATTTCATTATGTGTAAGTTATTACTGTACATGGTAATATATATAATGTTTAATACATATTTAGTGTTAGCTATACTTATCTCACCTTATATACTTCCAGTACTCTAGTAAATATGGATATATTGTAATGTTGGCAGCCTACTTGAATACAACATTAACAGTTTTAAGATAAATTAATTTATTGGAAAAAAAAATATTCTTGGTGATTTATTGGACATTGTGGTATTGCAATTCATAATGTTTGTTTTATGTTGATTTTATAATAAAATCTTCCATCTCAAACAGAATAATGTTTAATGATTTTTTCTCTGTTCAAGTTATTGAGAGAGACAGTAGTGTTGCGGTCAGATGAGAGTAGCTGGTACCAGGTTATTGGCAAGCTCACACATGAAGACAATTGGGGGGGGGGAAGACAGTTATTGAATGAGCTACAGTGGTCCACGCTTTGAGTGCTCTGATGTTCATGAAATAGCACTATATAAATTATGTTACGTATGTATATGTTGCTAGCAGTTGGTCACAAATTTGCAAATTGACAATAATAAGTAAGAGGCATACGGCAACTAATTAAACTATGCTTCACAGGGTACTGGGTAGGGGAATTTACTTGGTCGGGATAAAGGGTGGAAGGGGGAATAAGTGAATTCATATTTTCTAAAGGAGTTATGGATGTTGAACATGATATTGCGTTTATCAGTATGATTCGAAATAATAACACAATTGTTTGGAACTATCAAACATGGAAAAATCATAACCAAAAAATATACGTACTCTGTGACATTTCAATCAATTGTCAACAGACCTCATCAGATAATGACACAGGCAGATATTATTTCACCTTTCTTTCTCAAATGTAACATTTAAACTCACCTTAGCAGAATCCGCTTTCATTAGTAATTTCAAAGTACATAGCTGCGCAGTCTCATAAATTAGGCCTACCCTAAGCAATAGTCCATATAATTTCACAGAAAATTAATACAATTTCTGCAACAATTAGTCTTAAATGAGACTTACAATAGTAAATGAATTTCATCTATTGTTTTAATTTACAAATTTTACGAGCATTAAAATTCATAACATAATAAGAAAAAGAAAAAAATCAGCACTGCTAAGCATGTTAAATAAACGAGTCATAATCATTTGTTCAAATGTACCAATTTATTGAAATAAATCATCGACTTCACATTCACCGTACGTATAATAATATAATATATACACTTTTTGAAATCTTTTTTAATCGCCACTAGGCCTACACACAACAGAAACGGTAGATCATAAACAGTAGCCCTAGCATCGCCATACACAAGACTAGGCCTAATAAAAAAGATCCATCGGTGTATTGATACCTGCATTGTGGACAGGTAAAATTGGTGTTCAACCATGTTTTAATGCATTCTACATGCGTGATTGCTGATTCCTTTGAAGTCAGTTTTATCATATAGATATGTTTCAAAAAAAGGTTTGCTTTTATATCTGAGATATTCATTTAAAGTTGATTTCTTACAAGCTCTTTCAAACCATTCATTATCAAGGCGACCATTAACACCGCGAGGTCACTGCAAATTACCCATTGATCGTAACTGAGTTGCCGATGGTCGCTTGGTATTCTAATCTCAATACGTGGCCATTCTGTGCCCTGAACATGTATAATAACATATTATTTACACGATTTCATTGGTTTAGAGTACGTAGTAGTTCAAAGGTTTATCCTATTCGATCGTAAAATGCTGCCCTCTTTCAGACAAACTAAGATTTGTGAAAATCCGATGACTCATCGCGACGTTATGGCTGAACGAAGATTCTAGCGACTACTCGGGGGAAAACGGAGATTTTCTTTCAAATAGGTCTCTCCAGATTATAAAAATATGATATATATATATATATATATACAAGACATATCTATCTTGGATTTTTACTTGCATGTCGTTCCGGAGCGTTCCGGGCTCACAAAACCTCCATGATATTAGCAAGCTTATATGCACTTGTACCAAAAGTGTTTAACCAATCAAAACATTACCTCTAGTAGGTGACATAGCAGTGATTTAAACAAAACATCAAAGCATCCCTTTCCGCAATAGTAAAATTCAATTTACAGCCTCGTTCTCACATTTCAAAAATCTTTTATTCTTTTCCCTCTTGTTTTCTTGTAATAATTTGAATTAAATTCTTCTAATATACAAACGTCAATTCATCAGCATCAAAGCATTTATATGAGTGTGTATATATATATATATATATGCACACATATTTGGGTGGGGTACTGTATGCACGTAATGTGTATTATGTACATTATTTGTGTGAGGGATGTTCATGATTTATTTTAGATCTAAGTTGTATTTTCTTTAGTTAAGTTCTTTCATTTGTTTAGCTTTAAGTTGTTGTTTTACTCTTTGTTCATAAGTTCTTTCATTTGTTTAGCCTGTCTCTTATACACATAGCTTTAAGTTGTTGTTTTTACTATTTGTTCATTAGTTTAAGTTTGACTGCGCCACTTTCTTGTGTGCTGCCACTGATGTAAAAGTGTAATGTCAATAAATATTATTATTATTATTAAAGCATTTACAGCCTCCTCAACTTCAGATCCCCGTACGTATAATCGCCACAAGGCCTACACCCAACACACACAGTATATTAAAATTCAATTTACAGCCTCGTTATCACATTTCACAAATCGTTTGTTCTTTTTACTTTAATCAATCAATCATTCATTCATTCATTCATTCATTCATTCATTCATTCATTCATTCATTCATTCATTCATTCATTCATTCATTCATTCATTCATTCATTCATTCATTCATTCATTCATTCATTCATTCATTCATTCATTCAAAATCCCAACACACACAGTATATTAAAATTCAATTTACAGCCAATCGTTTGTTCTTTTTACTTTACTTTAATCAATCATTCGTTCATATTCAAAATCGATTGCTGATTCCTTTGAAGTCAGTTATATTATATAGATATATTCGAATATCGATTTATATAGATATATTATTCAAAATCGATTGCTCATTCCTTTGAAGTCAGTTATATCATATAGATATATTCGAATATCGATTTATATAGATATATTATTCAAAATCCATTGCTGATTCCTTTGAAGTCAGTTATATCATATAGATATATTCAAATATCTATTTATATAGAAGTCAGTTATATCATATAGATATATTCAACTATCGATTTATATAGAAGTCAGTTATATCATATAGATATATTCAAATATCGATTTATATAGAAGTCAGTTATATCATATAGATATATTCAAATATCGATTTATATAGATATATTATTCAAATATCGATTTATATAGATATATTATTCAAATATCGATTTATATAGATATATTATTCAAAATCGATTGCTGATTCCTTTGAAGTCAGTTTTATCATATAGATATATTCAAATATCGATTCATATAGATATATTCAAATATTCAAAATAAGGTATCGATTCATATAGATATATTCAAAATCGATTGCAGATTCCTTTGAAGTCAGTTTTATCATATAGATATATTCAAATATTCAAAAAAAAAAGGTATTCAAAATAAGGTATCGATTCATATAGATATATTCAAAATCGATTGCTGATTCCTTTGAAGTCAGTTTTATCATATAGATATATTCAAATATTCAAAAAAAAAGTATGTATGTTTAAAAAAAAAGGAGGTATGTTTAAACAAAAGGTATTGCTTTTACATCTCAGATATTCATTTAAAGTTGTCGATTGCTGATTCCTTTGAAGTCAGTTTTATCATATAGATATATTCAAATATTCAAAAAAAAAAAGTATGTATGTTTCAAAAAAAGGAGGTATGTTTAAACAAAAGGTATTGCTTTTACATCTGAGATATTCATTTAAAGTTGATTTCTTACAAGCTCTTTCAAACCATTCCTTATCAAGCCGACCATTAACACCGCGAGGTCACTGCAAATTACCCATTGATCGTAACTGAGTTGCCAAGTGAATCCATCAATAAGCAGCTCCTCCAAGAGATGTGTATAAGAGACAGATTGTAATGTTGGCAGCCTACTTGAATACAACATTAACTTTGTTTCGTTTAAATAAAGAGGTAAGTATACTGTGAGATGAGTGCAAATATTAAATTTTACTAAAATCACTGTTCTTTTATTGACTGAAAGTAACTTGTAAGTTGTAAGTTTTCTTTAATTTCTGATCTTGGAACATGGTACAAACTGTAGAGGGTACTCGCGACTCGTTTTCAGTCGCGAATCTTCGTTAGTTACCGGTAGCCGCTTTGTGAAAACGTCAGAAGAGGAACGAATCACAATCGTTGTTTGTACATGGTACAGTGAAGTTTTTGTATGGAAAGAGAATAATAAAATGCCGAAACGATGTGTTGTTATGGGATGCAGCAATGTAATCAAAGACAGCATAAGCTTGCACGTATTTCCCAAAGACCCAGTTGCTTTTAGAAAGTGGGAAAAATTTGTACAGCTAAAGAGAAGTCATTGGAAAGGTAGCCCGTACTCATGTATATGTTCCGACCATTTTACGACTGAACAATTTATAGAGAATCCGGTGAAAATCAGGCTTGGATTTGGAAATAGGTAGGCCTCCTATGACTATGTCTATCAGTATCAATTTGCTATTGCTTGTATATAATTTTATTCTTCATAAGTTAAGTTAAAAACTGACACAAGAGCGATACTAGCCTATCCTGTATCGCTCATCGACCTTACCTGCTGCCTGTCAGATCAGCCGGGCTAGGCCTAGGCCTAGCCCAGACTATCGGTTCGCATCTACTACTACGAGGCTAGGCCTAGGGGTAGATGGTCCAAATTGCGGTAAAGGCCCATATTGCCATAATTACCAATTTAATTACATATAATTAATTAACTGTACATGGTAGTTACAATTTCAAACCTTTCACGGCTTCATCTTCGCATCTTTTCGAGAACAACAACTCTCGCTTACCGATGCAGCCGTTCGATCGGCAAAGAGAAGGAAAATAAAAATGACCTTTTAAACCCGGAAGTGAGGTTTGGGTTTAAATAGCCAATCATGTAACACGTGGCCTTTCCATTTTGGTGAAAGGTAAGCAATTTGTCAACTTGCTTGCATTTTGAATTTTTGTTGGCAGTTGCTTATGGTAATAAGCTAATACGAGAATCGTCCATTTTTTATGACTGAGAAATATATAGAGAAATCTAGGGGAGGACCGCAAATTGGAACACAGACATTGAAAGGTCCTAATTGCGGTAGTAGTATACTTTTTTAGCTTATGCATTCCAGATAAATGATAATTAATGTTTAATACTTGTGTATTCTGTTCTTTTTTCAATAAATAAAGCCTGTTTTTAATAAAATTCACTGCATTGCCTGTTGTCTTGTCTCATTTTCTTCACATATGGAGGTAAAAAAAAAAAGTTCCCACGCTTACTTCCCACGCTTTTTTCTCACGATGTTTATATCTCCCGCTTGGTATCACGTGCCAACCAGTGGCGGGAATGTGTATCGTAGTTTTGAATCTAGGTCAAGGTCAGGCTACACTCACAATTTAAAAAACCTTATATTTTTCATCCAATAACATACTTACGATTCATTGCTTGCTTCTGATTGGTGAGTATAATATATGTTTATTCATTTAGGATTTTTCGATTTACGTTCGTTTTACAGTGTCCTAAGAAAAAATATTATCAATCGATCAATTGACAAAACCGATCGCTAGGCTAATAGCTACTATTAGCGCCCAGTGGGCGTGGGAAATTTTCCTGTAGTAGGCGCCCATTCGAATAAGCGCCCTTTTCTCTCATTAATATTCCCGGTCCCCTACCATGATTTATTTATTTATTTAATATATATTTGGACTCTATTAAATAGTTAGTCTATATAGTGTTACTAGTGTTTTTATTTCATTTGTCTACCAGACTAACGCCTCTATCCTACTACTATAAATAAGTAGGGTAGACCTACTTAACACTTCCAGGTGAATCGGTATTACCAGGAGGCCCTGTATTAAAATTGATTTTTAAAGTTTCACTCTTGGAAATATTTATAGACACTGCAGGTTGAATTGGTATTATGAAGTCCTTAAGAAGCAGGATCATAAATTTCTATAATGTAGGCTTATATTAATTAAAGACCGAGTTTAGTAAGACAGTCTAGGCCTATAATCCGATTTAACAAAATATACAGTATATTCAATTCAATATATTAAATCTCTGTAGGTCAACTATGGTATTATATATTTACTTAATTACTCCTCCTAGATATGGCTCCACCACCTGTCTTTCGGAAACAAAAAGCCGTTCGGCGCCGCTATACCGACCCAACGTTGATTTTGCGTGCCATTGAAAGGATTCAAAAAGGGGAAATATCTGAAAACAGGGCAGCGGCTATATATGGGATCCCACAGGCTACGTTGTGGGACAAAATACATGGCCGCAGACCGATTGTAGGAAAATGTGGACCAAAAACAGTCTTAAATGAAGAAGAAGAAGAGGTGAGTTTGCAAACAACACTACGATTATGTCTACGGTGTTAGGGCTTAGAATATAATTTGTCAGGGGGAAACAAAAATTTTTTTAATTCAATTTTTACTCTGGATGACCCTGCCCAGCACACAACCCTCCCTTCGGGAGCCCCAGTCAGGCAAATTCTGGACCTAGGCTACTGTTTTAATCAGTGGCGTAGGTATGTGAAGTACAAAGCACTCAGGGTCGGGGCTATTGGGACCCCGTTAAATAGATTTATGATTAAAATAGGGCCTAATGCACCTATTCAAATTTTTTAAAGGAACCTCAATTAGGTTTAGTGGCCATAACTATTGTGTTAATTTTACTTTACCAAGATATAATATACTAAAGCTAATTTTTACAGCATATTTCTAAAGTACGGTAATTGAAATATCGGAACGCACGTTTTAGTTTATTTAAAAGTTCGTTCAACTACAGTATATTTTTCACACGATACTGTATCGAACATATACTTTAAGGATACATTTTAGATTTATTTACTTCAGGTAGGTGGGCAATTGTTATCAGTGGCGGCACCAGCGTCTGAAATCTGGTGGTGGGGGCCAAGTGGGGGGGGGGCAAGGTACAATTTTTTTGGTGGGGGTCCCCGACCAGAGTAAAGTGGGCGTGGTCGGGTTTCGATTAAAATGTTTAGAGAGCGGTTGAGAGGGCGGAGCCCCCGAAAAATTTAACAATTTAGGGGTTTTAGGGGCATGTTTAATCGATCCTTTCCATATTTAGGGGTCCGCCGTTGTGATAAAATAAAATCAAAACTATCAAAATCTGCCGACTTCATTAATATTCTCATAATTGTATTTTCAGATGTTAGAAAACTGGCTTGTTGAGATGTCTAGAATAGGCTACCCCTTGACTCATGTACAGCTGCGAGACACCGTGAAGAAAATCCTTGATAAAGATGGCAGAAAAAATTCCTTCATCGACAACCGTCCTGGACGGAAGTGGACAACTTTGTTTTTTAAGCGGCATCCGCGCCTAACGCAAAGAGTTCCGGAACACCTTGGCAAGGAACGGGCGATCGTCGACTTCAACAAAATTGAGGCCTGGTTCCAAAACTTCTGGCAGTACCTGGAAGAGCATGAAGTTCTTCAGATCTTAGACGACCCATCTCGACTTTACAATACAGATGAGTCTGGTTTTCCCTTATGTGTTAAGTCGGGAAGGGTTATTGCCGAACTAGGTGCCAAAGACGTGTACCGTTTAGGCAATTCTACACGTTCACAAATAACTGTACTCGCCTGTTGTAACGCTGATGGTTCGTACGTACCACCGATGATGGTCTTCCCAGGACAGCGGTTCATCTACAACCCCTTACTAGGTGCGCCAGAAGGAAGCTTTCTTGGCAGAAGCCATAATGGGTGGATCGACTCAGAGATTTTCTTTGAGTGGATGGCTAATCATTTCTACCCGTCTGTAAAGGCGTCCGGTGTAGAATTCCCCATTATCTTATTTGTGGACGGACACGCATCACATCTGAATATTGAAACTGCAAAATTTTGCAGAGACAATAAAATAATTCTATACTGTTTCCCTAGCCATTGCTCCCATATTTTACAACCCCTCGACCTTTCCGTTTTCGGGTCTTTGAAAGCGTCATGGAAACGGGCGGTTCAAAGATACCAGTTCGATAACCCTGGTGAAACAGTTCAGAAACAAACATTTTGCCGCGTTTTTAACGAGGCATGGCAAGAATCTGCCACCAAGAAGAACGCTGTGTCAGGGTTTCGAAAAGCAGGCCTATTTCCATTTTCAATTGATGCAATTGATAAAAACAAAATTGCCCCATCTAAAGTATTTCGCGCTGTAGACGCTCCCGTCTGGATTATCGTCCGAATACAGGAAAGTGTTGTCCAAGTGATCTTCGGCATTATCATCATCCATTCGTACAGAATCTGTCTCTTATACACATCTAGATGTGTATAAGAGACAGCCGCCGCCCCCGTCATCGCCGCCGCCCCCGTCAACGACCGTCCGCTAGTGGAGGCACCTGCAGAAGCAGACGTTCCTGCCGCCATACCATCATCAGCTGCAGCCTCCCCAGTGGACGATGTATCAACTGTGCTTGCCACAATTGAGTCGTTGCTGGGCGAGAAGAGACTGAATTTGTTTCAAAGGCGTTATGACAATGGTTACGACTGTGATGATAAAGAATATACCGTCTGGAAAAATCTGAAAGAGAAAGCAATCAATCAATATTTTAAAGCACTAACACATGATGAACCTTCCCGGGACACTGCCGAAGAGCCTGCACCCTGTTCAAGTCTGGCTGGTCCTAGTGTTTCCAGTGTGTTTATAGAACACCTCAGATTTCCGAAACAAGTTCGGAAGCTTTCGGCAAATGAAATAAAATCTCGCGAAATGCCTAAAGCCCTGTCAGGAGCTCAGTTTATCGCATATGCGCAGGCGAAAGCTGACGAAAAGGTGGCGAATGAGGAGGCGAAACAGCGCCGAAAACAAGAGCGAGATGCAAAAAAGAAGGCCACCCAATCTAAAGGCATGAAAATCAACTCAAATATTTGCAGTAAATGCAAAAAGAAGTATGATGACTCATGCCTGTGGATTGGGTGTGAATGTGGACGTTGGTTCCACTGCTTCGCAAAATGTTGTGGCATTGATGCAGTGGAATCAATGTCCGAGGACGAAATTGATGCCCTTGATTGGACTTGCAGTTTCTGCGATTAGAACGCCTCCTCATTCGTTGCCTTTTGCAAAAATGTTAAAAATGGTTTTTTTTTTTAGTAGTGTTGGTTTTTATCTTTTATCAGTTATTTGTAAAAATGTAAAAAAATACAAATAGTAAACATAATACGTTTCGGGCTGCCAAGCCTTGTGTAGGAAACTCCTCCTGTATTTATTCATATTAGTTTTTGGGGTATGCGGGTTACAGACCTTAGGACTTGAACGATCCTACCCCGAGATGCATAGTTCAATTTTTCAAGAGTATTAATAAATGTGATTGTATCACATTTTTGTATAACTTGGTTTCCAATGATTATTCATTATTTTGTAATAAAAAAATGCACATCAAAATCACAAATACTATAATAACACCAGACTGATTTAAATTTTATTTATTGACCAAGTTGATTGAAAATTGGTGCAGAGGTAGTCGGAAAACGTAGTCGCAAGTACACGCCCATTCATAGTGATGATGATCAGCAATTCTAAAACTAAGAAAATTCAAGTACAAAAATAGTAAATTCTTTAGTTTAAACCACTGGGAGTACACAATACTATTTAATCTATATCAACCTAAATATCATACATTAAGCATTGAAGGCCAAGTTATTGTTACTTGTTAAATGATTTACCTGGTGTATATAAAGCCATTAATCATTTTCCTTGAAAGGACCTTCGAGGACTTTTGGTAACGTCACTCCTAGGAGTTTCCTGTCAACTCGTTCATCACAAACCATAAAAAATACTAAATATAATGCTAAAGGCCTGTTTACATTTCAACGATAACGATAACGATAAAAAAAGCTAAAAAGCGATTTTTCATATAGAAAACAAAAGAAATAAGAGAAGTTTTTACACTAGAACGATTCAATAACGATTTATCAGTTATGCGATAACAAAATATTTTGACAAATCAAATCAGATGACGTCATAATCATGGAAAAACATTAAAATCGTCGTAGTAGCAATCGATTTTATATTGTCTATATAAAAAAAAAATCGCTTTTTAGCTTTTTTTATCGTTATCGTTGAAGTGTAAAACAGGCCTTAACGTGGGCTCAAGCGGTGAAGTTACGACGACATGCGTTTAATTTAAATTCCATTACGAAATTGGGTTAAAAAAAAGGTTACCGCTAATTGGGTATGGCAAATAGGGACTGCGCTATGGCAAATTGGTGCGTGCTAGTCGAACGGTAATTAGTCAAGTATTTTTAATTAGGTGATGGTTGTTTCTGTTCTCTAGTATAATGATTAATTTAATATAATTATACTGTTTGCTAAATGCATAATTCGTGTCGTTCTAAGTCTGATTTATCATATTTTTAATATTCCCATAGGACTACCGCAGTTTGGACCCTCTACCTTAGGCCTA